ATTGTTTTATTTTCAGCATGTCTATGTCCTTACTCATGCTGTTGAGCTTCCTCAAGATCATGGCTCTAAATTCTAGCTCTGTTAACTTGCCTAACTGCTCCACATCGATCTCATGTTCGGTGTGGGTCTCTTGTTCTTTCATTTGGCTTTTGTTTCTGTGTTTCACCATTCTGGTTATCACAGTGGGCTTTGGAGCCTGTCAAGTTTTCCCTGTGGGTGTTGCTGTTCTGCTGTTTGTGGCTCCCTCTCCTGGGTTTAGATGAGCGAGGGTGGACCCACGTTAAACACCACTGTCAAGTCTTACTTTCCTGGTTAAAGTTTCCTGCCCAGGAAAGGTACTGTTATCCTCTAGCTTTTTGCCTGTAAGCTAGCAGTTGATGTTAATTGAAGAGTTTTGGTTGTCAGTTGATTGAAAAACTCCCTCAGGTGCTCAGCATAAGGGGATTTCCCTGGGGGGGGGGCAGATTCTTGTTGTTAATGAGCCTCAATTAGCATTTCAATGACCCACAGGGTGGGGTTGGATCTCTGAGGGAGGGGCTGCTGCCTCTCCCCAGAGCCCTGGGAAGGAGCAAAATGGCCATCATCCTGCGTGGCCGCAACTCAGTAAAAGCTCTGAGTGCCCTCCAAATCCCGAGTGTCCCCACACAGTTCCAGTCCAATCTGCCTTCCCTTTGCCGGAGCCCAAGGTGAGTGGCTGTGGCTTTTTTAGCATCTGTCTTGGCTCAGCGCTGTGGAGCCGCTTGGGGGTGTAACCTGAGGGTGCTGCTCCCAGCTAATGCCGCTGCTGTCTGTGGACTCCCAGCCCCCGTCTCTTGCCTTCGCAAGCCTACCAGGATGGAGTCAGTGTCCCTCTTTATATGGTCCCCGTAAGCTGCTTTTCTGTTGCTTTTTCCATCAATTTATCTGTGTTTTAGTTGTAATTCCAATTTGGTTCTGGGAGATGGTCTGTGTAGCTTCCGTTCACTCCGCTGCCATTTTGGAATCCTTTACTTCTTGTTAATAGGGTGACTACACATTCTGGTTTGCCCAGCCATTGCCCCAGTGTAATTATTAATAGCGTCTCCTTTTAGTAGCAAGTAGGCCAAACCTCAGTAGATCATGTGGTTGTCTACCTATTGTCCGAGAGCCTGGGAACTGGCACCAGGCAAACTGCTCAGCCGTTACCTCGCTTACCCAACCTGAACTCCCTCCCTGTTTCAGGAACTGTTTGCCCCAAACTCATAGATCAACTCCTGTCCCATTCTCCTGTCCTAGTCCAGGGACTGTTTGCTCCAGGACAATAGACTCACATTCCAGGGGCCCCCATGCATAGCCCCTCAGGACCTAACCCTAACAACAAGTTCCCTCTGCCACAGGCGCAGATATAAAAATCACAAACCCCAGCATCGGGCGCGGCTTCTCGGCCTCGACCCCCCGAGTCTGTGAACCCGCCCGGAGTGTACCCAATAAAGCCTGATTTCTGCTTATTCGGCTCTTTGGCTCTTCGGTTTCTTCCCACCTCCCACCGGCGGCACCTGGCTACCTTACACCTATTACATAACATTTTAATTGCTTGTGTTCCGAATCTTCTACTGGATGACAAGCTCTAACACTCAGTAGAAACATAATAACTATTTGTTGGATGAGTGAAACATTGAGTAGAACTAGGAGTCTTCTGTGAAATAAACGCATCGTAGTTAACTTTGATTAAAGTCTGTCATCAGTCCACACTGGATTTCCTTATGTCTAAGAGGAGGATTCAACTCTCTCTCCAGCCTGTAACTGTTGTGAACGTATAAGAATCCAGCCTGTTTCCGCAAATCTGTGACTAAGTTCACATTTTTTAAATGCAAGAGAAGTGGTGTAGTGGATGCCTGTGGTGGGGTGGACTTCCGCATTGCTTCATCTCCCTCTTGTGGTTGTTGTATGAAATTCTTCACAAAATCCTTTCCAGTTATAAATACTGCCTCTAAGTTGGTGGTTCTATACATCTCAACCCAGATTTCACTTGGGTGTGAAGTAGGGTTTGGGCATCAGTATTTTTTAAGAGCCATCCTGGTAACTCTAATATTTAGATAAGTTTGGGAATGTTGGCAGGTGTGCACCATGCTTCAGTAACCAGGTAACCACTTTCAAATGTAATTTTGGGCCCTGGCCAGGTGGCTCAGTTGGTTGGAGCATTGTCTTATACACCAAAAAGTTGCAGGTTTATTCCCAGTCAGGGCACATACCTGGGTTGCATGTTTGATCCCAGTCAGAGTGCATATGGGAGGCAACCGATCAATGTTTCTCTCCTCTCTTCCTCTCTCTTTGAGTGAGGTTTTTTTAAGAATGTGATTTTTGATAGCTCTGCTTCTTGGTATATAGAAGTATATTTAGTCTACATAAAGATCACTAGGAGGCCAGCAAGTTTCTAGATTATGGTTCTCAATCAATGGGAAGAGTTTTTTTGTTTTTTTTTAACACCAGGCAACATTTGGCAATGTCTGGAGACATTTTTGATGGTCATGATCAGGGACAGGGGATATGTTACTGGCATCTGCTAAACATCATGCAACATGCAGGATAGCCATGACAGACACTTCCTGGACCAAAATGTCAGCAGTGCTACAGTAAGAAACCCTACTCTACACTGCTCCACAAGGGCAGCTTGGAGAAGTTTGAGAAAGACAATTACTCTGGCAGTAACAAAAATGAACCAATCCTTTCAACACAGGTCTCTTCTCTGTTGTGGACGGTGGCCCCTGAGTTTGGTGAAGAAGGCGCAGAGCTAACCCTTGCCCATGCTCTAGGAAAGGGACAATCTCACAGTTATTAAATCATGTCCACCACCTTTGATAACTATAGCTATAGAGACACAAAGCCAGGAAGCATGCTTCTGTGTCATGAATCCTCTAGGTATCATAAGACAGGAGTACAATTTCCTTGATGAACTGTCTGTGTTTTATTCATTTTCAGGGATCCTGCAAGAAGAGAAGTGACTTACTGTAATCCGGTTTCCCAGGCAGCGTACACACCCTTTACCAGTCACATCCTGTTAGTTAACTCGAGTAAGTGTCCTACAGAGGCTTGAGACTACGCCTGGTTGTATTGCGGAATAGCAGTCCTTTAAGACCGAAAGTGAGCCTTGTTCCTCCTGAGTTCTCCGGAATTCAGATATGCTCAGTCAGAAGGAAACGCTAGAAAAGAAACATAGGGGAATCAGACTCCCAAGTACCAGTTTTATTTGTTTAAGCCCGAGGAAAAGGAATGCTCCAGCTCACTCACAGCGCCTTTGGGGAAAACGGACGGGTTCTCTGCTTTCCCAATCATTTGAAAGACGGCACAAGAGACTCCAAGACATGGCCACCCTCCCCAGAGAGGTCTTGAGCCTGGGACAGGAAGTTTGAGGGACTAGCCTCTTCTTCCCCTCTTTGTCCCTGTCCTTCTATCAGGTAGAATTTAGCCACAAGAAAAACCTAAGTGTTGGAAACCGAGCTGCTGGGATCATCTGAGTTGTAGTAAAGGAGAGAGTGCTCCTAACAGACAGCTAAGGGGCCCAAGGTTAGACAAAGGCGATATAGTGGACATTTTTTTTTTCCTTTTCCTTTTTGCCTGCCCAGCATTGAATTCCACTGCTCATGCTTGGGGACTTTCCTAAATCATTAGAGATAGATCCTACCTACCATTAAGAAAGTACAAAATGCCAGATATGCCCAGCTGGCATGGTGCAGTGGTTGAGCGCCAACCCAGGCACCAGGGGTCACCAGTTTGATTCCCAGTCAGGGCGCATGCCCATGTTGTGGCCTGATCCCCCGTGGGGAGCATGCAGGAGGCGGCCAATCAATGTTCTCTCTCATCAATGTTTCTATCTCTCCCTCTCCCTTCCTCTCTCTCTAAAATTAAAAAAAAAAAAAAGCCAGATATTCAGTTCTCAGCCTCCCTTAAAGTAGAACATGGATGTGTGACCTGTGATTGGCCACTCAGTCGTAGACTCTGAATTAGAAACTGGAGATAGAAAGATGAAGGAGGGATCCTGGAGGAGTCACTTCGGTTCAGACAGTGCCAGCAGCAATATAAATTTCCAAGTCCGGTTGAGACAGGGAGTGAGTGGTGGAGTCCAGATCTAGTGCTGGGAGGACAACAGCAGTGCAAATAGTGCTCAGCACTGTCACCCTGAGCTGGTGTTATTACTGGGGCTGTGGTTCTAGCCACCGCCTCTGCCTTCCTGCTCATTTTCAAAGCATGGTTTAACAGAACCTTCTAGCAGTTATTTAATCCAACCAATATCTTTTCAGTAGATCCCTTATCTACATTAAAAAAAAAAAATCCAAACCAGTTTATATTGACTGCAGCTAAGTACACTATTATGAAAATCAGTACCAGGAAATGGCTGCACCAAACAACAGAACTAAAATACGAATCGACTGAACAGAAGAGGTACAAGGTAATAAGGACCTCAGAGTTTTGAGCTGGAAAGTTGGTGACCCTTGTTCTATGATTATAAGACAGGTGGTGCTTTCTTACAGTGTTCACAAAGGTCATACAAGTACCTCTCGGAAAGAAGAGCTTCCATTGAATAAGGCCTGTCTGAAAGCCAGAGAATAGGACTTTATGAAAAGAGGCTCTTTCTGTCTGCAACCTGCAATTTATTAAGCATTTAATGACTTAAAACTGTTGGGCTACATTAATTGTCTACTTCAGGATAGATTCAGCATGAGGGAACAGGAAGTTTTTGCTAGAGACCCTGACAATGTGAGGCCACAGATGTAAAATGGGTTCAGAATAAGATTAAAGAGTCTTAGATGAAACTCCAGGTTGGTTGTAAACAGAGAACTAGAATTTAAAAATAATTCTGGGAAGTGAAAAATCACCCTAAAACAAGTTCTGATTATCGCTCATTCCTTTGTAACAGCGTCACCAAACACTTGTCACTTTTCTTTAAATCTGAACACCATTGGCATATTCTTAAAACTATACTTTTAAGAATCTTAGATGATTTCCATTTCATTATTCAAAGCTCAGACACCTCAAAGTCATGTTTTCAGTTTATTGACTCTAGCTTCTTTTGTCATTTTGTTTTACATATAATAAGGAATTCATCCTTTATTGTCCATCCAGAGAGAAAAACTGAGGCACAGAACCTTGATCAGGTGATCGGGATCCACTCCCAGAACCAAGTGCAGACAGCCAGAATGTAAACTGTTCCAGGGTCTGGCTGATGGTCAACTGTCCGAGATAGGTGCTAGATGTGCTGGCTTTTGCCTATGGCTTCTGTTATCCAGTCCCAGCAAAGAGCAAGACACCTAAAGGTCTAGACTCACTAGATTTGCATTATCTATTTTGTCTGATACACCACAGAGATGGAAAACTCTGTTCTGGGCCTATGCCCTGCAGAGCAGACGAGTGCTTGGGAAACTTGACTTTCTTTTCCTTTTCACTGGTGGATGTGGAAGCCATATCACCAAGGAGTTGATCTGAGAAGAGCACAGATGTGTAGAGTGTCATAAGAACTTGAGCCCTGGGGCCAAGTTCAGTGTTTATTTTAGCTCCTCCATGTTCTTTCAGAAAGTCCCTTCACTGGGTCCGTGGTGTCAGCTCTCTGGAAGTGTCACGCTGGCATAGACTGTGGTAGAGCTTGGTTCCTGGGGGCAAAACAGAAGAAGTCTGTTAATGGAGGGACTGGCACTGGCTTCACAGGAATAGATAGAAACAGCACTGCTTAGGGAAAGGGAAGTGTCTAGCTCAGGGTCTCTTAAAGTCAAGAATTGCTGGCTGGAGGCAGCACTCAGGTCTCAGACTGCCTGTCCTGCCCGCCAGATGGACTACAGCTCCCTTCCAAGCGTATGCCTGCCATCAATAAGACTGGGAGACCTGTCCCCGTGATCTAAGGACCGAAACTCAATGCCTTCCTCCCTCCTTGCTTTCTTCCCTTCCCTTGACTTCTAAGGAAAATCATTTGTTTTGCTCTTGAGCATGGGGCACAGTTTGGAGAAGATAAGAGAATTCCAAATTACTGAGCTTTAAAAAAGGTTAGTGAGACCCAAGGGGAGAAGAAAGAAGTGGTTTAGGCAGGAGAGAGGGAGAGAGAGGACATGAGGATTTTCCGCAAAGACCTCTTATAGAGAGAAGAAATTCAAGAGTCAGAGAAGAAAAGAGATAGAAATGGGAACATTCAGGAAGTTTTTCTATAAAATGTGAAACATATCATTTTTCTTTCCCAAGAAAACTTCACTATAAATTTACATTATTATTATTATTATTTTTTAAAGATTATGAAGTCAGGGCACATGCACAGTGAAAGCTTCGAAGAAGAGGGAAAAATGTAGGCATTTCTGTGTTCTTTTAATCTTCAGCTATCTCCTAAAGTGCTTTATTTAATAGAGCACAACTAGAGGCAAGATTTCAGCCCAGAATTTATTTCTGTCCATTTAGTAAAACAAAAGAATTTATTTCTGTCAAGTAAAATTAATCCAACACTGATTTTGCAATAGGGTAGAATAGAGGAAGCTCATTCTGAGCGGCATATCACATTCTCTTCTAGGCTTCATACCTGTTCAGAGCTCAACTCTTAGATATTCTGATTAAATGGGGCTGGACAGAGCCTAGACACGAGCGTTTTCACAAAGCTCCCTTGGTGATTCTGTATCACAGCTGGACTTGAGAACTTCTGGACTAAAAATGCCATCCCCAAACTTAAATGGGCATCAGGATCAGTTGGCAGATGTCGTTTTTAAATGTGCAGATGCCTGGTTATTTGCCATAGACATTCTGATTGAACAGAATGCTAGGTGGAAAACCCCAGGAATCTTTATTTTTAACAAACATGCCAGCTGATTCTGATGTGGTCCTTGGACGACCCTCAGAGATACATTAGTGAGCAGAACAAATTGTGACCCCATGTGAGCAGCCATGAGGGGTTCCCAGAAGTACTGCAACCAAGACTGCAAGTGCTCATTGCTACCTACTTGCGAGGGCCTGCCTTTTCCATTCTAGGCCTCTGTTTTATTTCAGCTCTGCATAGGCCCCACCCTTTCCTCTCCTCCTATTCTCATTCTACAGAAAGATGCCTTACCTGAACAGGCTTTGTGACAGGCTCTGTAGCCGCAACATAAATGGTGGTGCAGGGGTCCTGAGCTGGCAGAGGATCAGGTTTCTTCTGAACAGACTGCAAAAGAAGCAAATAAAGCAGGGAGTTAGCTGAACAGAGAGTTATTGCTCATCTAGCTCTCTCTATGGAGAAGTACAGAATCAAAACGCTTTGTTAGAAAACTCCTTAGAACAATTTGGTCCAACCTCCTTCCCAGGTGGAAATTCTCCTCCAAACTCCCTGGAACTCAATTCTCTGGGCTTTGCCTGAACTCCACAGGTGACATCTTGGAGCTCATAACCTCATGAGTCAGCCTAATTTATCATTTGAGCTTCCCAGATGTTTGAAAGTTCTTCCTCACAGTGAACTGCAATTGGCATGGTTCTTACTGAGACACCTGAAGAGAAGGCCATCTTCATGGTAGTTGAGTCTGGTTCATGTCATCCACTACTTGCAGAGCTCATTCCATCCTCACACTCTAACATGGCTTTTTGTTACTTCTCTTCTGTCCAAATATTGAACTTAATAATCACATATCAAAGTTCTTCACAGGTCTTCTCATTCGTCTCACAACCACTCTATATGTTAGACACCATTGTCACATTTTACAGATGAACAAGCTAAAACCCAGAAAGATTTATTACTTTGCTAATGTATGCAATGCAAGAAGTATTAAAGCCAGGAATCCCACCAAGAACTTTTAAAGTGTATGCTCTTTTCATCATACCACTCTTCTCTGGTTGGCCCAACTTACAATGACCTCTCCTTTACCTAAATTCTTCAAGCACTTACAGTCTAATTCATATGCCATGGCACTTAATTGTATGCTGAATTTATCACACTCATATTAAACATTGTTTCTCCAAACACACTATCAATTCCTTGAGAAATAGGTTTGCATTCCTCACAAAATAGTGTCATGAATTAAGTGAATGAATTATTCATTCAATAGTGAATGAATTAAGATCTACAACACCAGGATGAAGTCAGTGTGGGGATAAACTGAGACCATAACCCTCAAGATGGGGATGACATAATTTATGCCAGGGAAATCATTCTTTCAACACACTTTGGGAACACTGGTGTAGGGTAATGCTACTCTCCACTTTTCCTGATATAGAGCAAGACTTGAAACTGAAACACCTGGTTTCTAATAGGAGAGAACTTAGAATCTTGTCACCTGATGGAAGAGATAAGGAATTGGAAAAGTTTACTGAAGGAAAAAAGATTCCAGGTGGAACATGATCTTTCCCTTTGTGTATTTTGATGAATTGCTACGTAGAAGAGAAATTATATTTGTAATGTAGAGTCCTTCAGGTTTAAACCAAGGTTGGAATTTTAGAGAAATCTTTTGTTCAATCTAATAAAGATTTTTTTCTAATATAAAAGGTATTCAAATGTGGGATGAATTGCCTTGGGAGGCAGTAAATCCCTCATTACTGAAAGTGCTTGGGGTAGATCAGGGCTTCTCATATTTTAATGTGCCTATGAATTGCATGGGGATTTTGTTAGGAGGCTGGTTCTATTTCAGAAGATCTGTGGTGGGGCCTGGGATTCTGCATTTCTGATAGAGCTCCAGGTGATGCTGCTAATGCTAGGTCACAGACTGTATTTTAATAAAAAGAAGCTAGCCAACACTTTGCAAATAATGTTATAGAAGGTAATCCAAAAGAATTTGCCTGAATCAAACAGATGACTTTCAAGATCCCCTACAATTCATAGATACTATATTCTGGAGAAAATTTAAATTTAAGGAAGAATTATTTGCAATAATGAGATGCATATAAAGAATGTAAAAGTCTGTAAGAGACCTCTATCGATAGAAGCAACTCCTGCCAATCTTACTGCCTGTAAGGACTTAACAATGACCTGACTTAGAGGCATGGGGGAGAAAGCAAATAACTTATGCTTTCCACATTTAATTAAAAGGTTTAAAAAATGTATAGAGAAAACAACCATAGTTTTATCACTTTAACACAATATGGTTAGCATGCTGGTAGTTTCTCTTCAGGATTTTTATCTAGGCACAGGGAATTATTTTAAACATAGTTATAATAATTTAGTACCTTTTTGTATTTTGTTGTCTTCAGTTAGGGCACAACTCCAGGAAGCATGATTTGAAAAAAACTCTAGGCACATTATACTCACATATTCTTTATAAATAATATCCCCTGGAATTGTACAAGGTGTTAGCCCTGATAAGACCTATGTGAGTCCCTAGCTGACAGCAGACATTTGGTAAATAATTTTCTATCTTATTATAGTTTTTGTGAGGGTATTAAATAGCCATTAAAAATAAGAATAAAGAAAATATTAATAAATGTGAATAATTGTCCATGTTATCTCAGTCTTTATATATGATCATATAGGCATTGTAAATATGAACAAAGAAAACTGTAAGGATGTGGGTAAGTCCAAATGCATATTGAAACAACAATAATGATGTCTTGTATGTTTAAAATATGTATGAAATTAAAATAATGACCAAAAAAAGCACATAAATCAAGAAGAGGTAAAATTAAAGATGGAGTTAAAATATTAAAAATTAAAATAAAGGTGAAGTTGCAATATTGTCCAGGAAGAAAATAAATATTAGACTTTGATAAGTCAAAGATGCACTTCCTTAATTCTAGGGTAACCAATAAAAGAATAGAAAAATGGCCCTGGCCGGTTTGGCTCAGCAGTTAGAGCATCAGCCTGCGGTCCAGAGAGAGCCGGGTTCAGTTCCCACTAAGGGTACGTACCTCGGTTGTAGTTTGTCCCCGGCCCTAGTTGGGTCATGTGGGAGGCAGCCACTTGATGTGTCACTTTCACATTGATGTTTCTCTCTCTTCCTCTCTCTCCCCCCCACTCTATCTGAACAAAAAATGGAAAAATGTCCTCGGGTGAAGATAAAAAAAAAAGAATAGAAAAAAATGGCTTAATTACTAATCTAATAGGCAAATGAAATAATAAGAATATAATTTAATTCTTCCTTCAGAGAAACTCCTGGCTCAGAGAGCTTCACCCATGAATCCTGACAAATACTTGAGGAGAAAAATAACATAAATTATATTCAAACATTTCCAGAGAATACAAAAAAGAGATATATCCTGTAATAAGTTGAATTGAGGCCCCCTAAAATAGGTCCACCCAGAATCTCAAAATGTGATCTTATTTGGAATAGGGTCTTTGTAGATACAATTAGGGTAATAATTTCAAAATGAAGTCATGCTGGTTTAGGGTGGGTCTTAAATCCAGTGACAAGTGTCCTTATAAGAGACAGAAAAGGAGAAGACACAGAGAGAGGAGTTATGTGAAGATGGAGGCAGAATTGGAGTTATGTAGCTACAAGCCAACAAATGCCAGAGAATGCCTGGAGCCACCAGAAACTGGAAGAAGCAAAAAAAAAAAAAAAAAATTCCTTCCTAGGACCTCAGTAGGAGTATGGCCCTAGTGACACCTTCATTTTGTACTTCATACCTTCAGAACTGTTAGAGAATACATTTTTGTTGTTTTAAGTCATCAAGTTTGTAGTACTTTGTTATAGTAGCACAGGGAAACTAATTCACTCCAGCTTATTCTGTGAGTTAAGCATACTCTTGATATCAAAACCTCACAAGGGCATTACAAGAGAGAAAAATTATAGGCCAATTTTATTCAGAAACATAAACAGAAAAATTTCTTAAAATAGTAGTAAATAAAATCTGACAACAAGGACCAGACTAAATTGCTTTTAAAAAAATCCTCACCCAAGGACATTTTTTCCATTGATTTTTAGAGAGAGAAAGGGGGATGGGGAGAGAGAGAGAAAGAGAAACACATTGATTGGTTGTTTCCCGAGTGTGCTCAGACCAGGAATCTAACCTGCAACCTTTTGGTCCTCAGGTTGATGCTCTAACCACTGTTCTAACCACTGGCCAGGTCCAGACTAAATTGCTTTTATTCCAGGAAAACAAAGTTGGTTAAATCTTTGCAAAAGAGTGCAGTTCAGTAGATAAATAAGAAAGATAAAATTTTCAAAATCATAACATTATATCAGTAGATGTGCAGCATTGATAAATTCAAAATCAATTATTCTTCATAAAGTGTCTTAGCAAACCATTTTTTTACTTTTGAATTTATATTAATTTTAAAATTAATATTCAATATATTCAAGTTAAATCCAAGTCCTTCCTTAAGAAATAAATCTCACATTCACTGGAAATCCTCTTACTGTCCACCTGAGGGATTTTTCATTCAGCTGAGGACTAAAACCCAAGGCTTATCAAGTAACTGAGACTAATAGCCTGCAGGCAAAAGTTATAGAATAACTGAATCTTTGCTTGGCCTGCGAATCTACACAGGAAAGTAAGATTTGACATTGGTGTTTAATGTGGGCCCTCCCACAGTCATTCAAACCCAGTAGAGGGAGCCACAATCAGCATAACACCAAACCCACAGGGAAAATTTGGCAGGTCCAAAACCCACTAAAACAGTCAAAATGGTGAAACAAAGAAACAAATCCCAAATGAAAGAACAAGAGAATTCTACAGGAGAAGGGATAAGTGAAATGGAATTAAGCAAGTTATCAGAGGTAGAGTTCAGAGTAATAATTAGGAGGTTCAGCAGCATGAAGATAAAGAAACAATGAAAATCAACCAATTGGAAATGAAAAACCACCACACATAAATCAAAAATGACATAGCAGAAATAAAGAACACATTGGAAGAAATAACTAGCAGAGTGGGGGAAGCTAATGATGGGATCACTAAATTAGAAGACAGGGTAGAAAAAATTACCCAATCAGAAAACCAGAAATAAAAAAACAATTAAAAAAACAAAAGGACAGCTTAAGAGAACTGTGGGATGATATGAAATGTAACAAAATCTGCATCATAGGGGTGCCAGAAGAAGAAGAAAATGAGCAAGGGTTAGAGAATGTATTTGAAGAAATGTGACAAAAACTTCCCTAAGTTAGTGGGAAAAGAAAAAAGGCAAAAAGTTCAAGAAGCACAGAGAGCCCCAAGTAAGAAGAACCCAAATAGGTTCACACCAAGACACATAATAATTTAAATGCCCAAAATTAAAAACAAAAAGAGAATTCTAAAGGTAGCAAG